TTCCTGCTGTGGCATCAACTAATGCTGTTATTGCTGGTATGAAACTGGTTTTTGAGGAAGTAGCCGCTGCTGTTAAGGGGCCCTGAAATTTGAGTTGGCATTTTTTAAAACATTTATATTGAAATTGGCATTTGATTGTAGTTACTGTTGCTTTACATAAAGCTGACTGTTTATGCACATCACATGCAGAGTTTACAGTGATAATCATTGCAAATTTACTACAGGAAAATTCATACATTTTTCAAACATTTTACAAAAACTAAATGAAAATAGTTTTTTTTTTTTTAAATGAGCACTGTCTGTTTATTTTATCAGGTAAAGTCACTTTCAGTAGCAGATTTTATTAGCTACAGCTACATCATAATCAGTAGCCAACCAACAAACAGCAACCATGTACAAATCAAATTTTAAAATCATCTTTTTTGTTGGATTTTGTGGTAAAGCTAGTTATCCCTATTCTAGTAGTACTACTGCACTGAGTATTGCAGGTAAAATGTATTTAAAGTATCATATGTTTGTGTGCCTGTAATATTTGTTTTTGTTTTCAATGCATATGTTTCACTTTGACAAAAAAAATGCTTTTAGGATAAGTGAAACCATTACAAGTCGACCGCCCCCTGGTGGCTGTTTGCAGTACAGGTCTCAAACCCCACCTCCTTCGTGTTAGCGGATGGGACATGAACCAAACTAAAAATTCAAAGTCTTCCCACAGATTTTTGGAATTTTCTACATATCAGATATATTGCCACACTGATTTGTTTACTAGGGGTTGTTTTCTGACGTTTATTTTAATAAGTTATTTGATAATATAAAAAGGGGCGTACTTCACATGTTTTGGCAGCTTTGATTGGTTACTGCTGCACAGAATCTGGTTGCAAAATGCATCAAAAAAAGAAAGATGGCTGCCCCTGTATTTGCAGTATTTTGACTTCACCTTTGCATAGTGGTAGGAAGTCCATTTGCCACCTTCCAAATACTGACTGTTCTTAGAGCACTATGCACACTGCTGCTAGAGAAACCTACAGCCTGATCGCCCTGTGGTGCCTAATTAATCTTGCTGTGATTGGACAATCACTGTTCTGGGGAGAGGTTTAGTCACCTCCCACTTATGTCATATCGTACTTGTACAATTTTACAGCTGAAGTAACTAAACGTTGTGTTGCCTTTGTTCTCTACAGCTGCCTGTGCCACTGAGGTTTTTAAAATAGCTACAAGGTTGGTAGCACATTTTGGAACCTCCCCTCATAATTATCTGTTGACTTTTCAGCAAAGATTACTTAACATACAATTTTATTTTGCAGTGCATATATTCCTTTAAATAATTACCTGGTCTTTAATGATGTGGATGGACTGTACACCTACACATTTGAAGCAGAACGAAAGGTTTGTTTTGCCCTGATGGAGTCAGAAACAGTTGCGCTAACAGAGTAAAGTGAATGCAGAGAATAACCCAGTCACTCTGCATCTGCTTTGATTTACAGGAAAATTGTTCAGCGTGCAGCCAGGTGCCTCAGGACCTCCAGTTCCCTCCTTCTGCCAAACTACAGGAGGTTTTAGAGTACCTGACAGAGAATGCCTCTCTGTGAGTATTCGGAAAAATGTATTAATGCTATTTTTGGAAAAATAACAGTTATCAGGTAAAGATTGCATGTAAATGTTTTCCAGACAAATGAAATCCCCAGCTATCACAACAACTCTGGAGGGGAAGAATAAAACACTGTACTTACAGGTATTTCATCTTTGAGATTCCTGCCTGGTCTTGGGTCACCTGCTTTTTATCATAAACGGTGATTAAACTATAATTACTGTTTTATAACAGTCTGTGAAATCCATCGAGGAACGGACAAGGCCAAACCTCTGCAAGACATTGAAAGGTAATAAGCGTTGCTTCAGTCTGTCCAGTTTGACCTGTAGCTGCTGACATTCATAATGAAAACATGTGTAATGTATTTTTCTTTTGATGCAGAGCTTGGCTTGTCAGATGGACAGGAACTAGCTGTAGCTGATGTTACCACACCCCAGACAGTTCTCTTCAAGCTCAATTTCACTGCCTGAACCTCCATTAAAACAAACAGAGCTGACATCATATTGACGGCATCTGAACACAATCTGAGTGTTATACGTGGTTACTGTTATGTTGCTGGAGCACATTTGATGTAGTTATGTAAATACAATGAGTAAGAGCTCACCTATGGGATAGGATTTGTTTTTGTATGAACAAGGAAGTCGGTTAACATAGTTTTTTTGTATTGGTAACCCTGTTTACTTGTACTGTATGTTTGTCCTGTGTTGACTTGTATTGTGGTCAAGCAAATGACAAAGATTTATTATCATGGTTCTAGAGGAAGCCATTGGACCAGATTTGTCCCCCTTCTTCATTTAGAAGCAACAGAGCAGCTTCACTACCCTTTTAAGTGTATTCAAAGCAGCTGTATTACACCGGCAGCACACCCACACCCCAGCTTTTTAAAAAATAGATTTGGGATAAAGTCTGTAATTAAGATTAAAATAACAAATGGTTGCTTTATTTATTGAAATAATAAATGTTTTATTTGACAATCCAAAGGAGCACTCCCATCATTTTAAGAAATAGTTAATTAGAATGAAGAGGTGGATGCTGGCAGCTCCTCTGGCTCTGGAAAAAAACACCAAGCTCCACCCGCCTGGTTTTTAAGCTGAACTAACGTAAGTGCTGGCTTCATATGCAGTGAGGTGTAGTGTCTGTGTTCTCATTTAAGCTCTGTAAATAAGCATGTCTTTGAAAAAGATCTTGATATTAGTAAGCAATTAAAGATATTTCTAACTTTCTGGTGATGTGTTATTGACATTATACTTTGAATGGTGTGGTTAATGTGATTTTAAATGCAAATACGAATGATTCATTGGTAAATCTTGGATTAGAATAACATCAAAACAAATTAGAATTAATTAAATATAATACATTTAAACTCTGCATATCACATCTAGGCTACTGCTTGACAAACCTCAGGCATAAAGAAAAGCTGTTTAACAGGAGTGTATAATACATTTAATCTCTGGAAATGTATTGTTTCTGGTTTAAAAACAAACTAGTGAAATAAATCTTAATAGTGCTAAAAGTATGGATAAATAATGAATAACTAAGTATTTCATAAACGTCTCATATGATAAATAATAGTAAAAACTATGAAATCCTGTCTAAAAAACAAACGATAACGTGGTGATGACCGGAGAGACCCCGGGACGTGACCTTGAGGTGCCGTTGTGTGTCCACCGTGGGGCGGGATGTCAATACTCACTGTAAGCTTCTTAGAGCGCTAATGAAAGTGGCCGCATATTGTCCAGGAGACAGATGGTTTCTCTCTTGATTAAGTTTTAATTTTCCTGAAGGGAAAAGCTGACAGGCTTTGCTCGTCGGAGTGATCCCGCTGTGTTCACACACCAACACGTCTCTCTTATCACATCCTGCCTGAAAGGTACAGCGGCTGCAGGGAGAGGAGCCGATGTGTGAAACTACAGGTTTTCCCGACGTGTTGACTGCTGCCTCTCTCAGCCTGGGCGTGATTTGGCAGCACATGGCTGCGTTTTTACTCTGAACTGAGTGAGAAAACTTCACGATTGCTCCAAACTTCTGCGTCTTAGCTGAAGTGACATGGTATCATGTGAACACAGACACTAATGGAGGCATCAACAGCTGTCTAACAACCTGAGGTAAGAGTTTGAATGCTGAACATATTAATTTAAGGTTTTGTTAGGGGTTTTTTATAGTTGAATTGTCAGTCCACATAAAATTAGGCTAATCTATGCTATTTTAATTATCAATTAATCACTATTTTTCAAGCAAATATGCCAAACCTGCTTCTTAAATGTGAGAATTTTCTGCTATTTTTGTTTATTGATTTACTTACCTAGATTTTTATTGGCTAAACACTGATATTGAAGTTGCATCTTTGATTCAGGGGTGTTACAGTAAGTGGGGGATGAAAATGCCTCAGGTGAACTTAGGAGTAGGGGTTTATTTCTTTTATTTCTTATCTATGTCCTCCTTTCATTTTTGCTGTAATTTGACATAAAGGTTGTGTCCCAATTTTTCTTTGACTCCAGTGGAATACAACTTGTTTAGCAGGGAGAGTTCAGCTCTGAATGCAGAGATGTTTACAGCTGAAGGGACAGTTTGATTCAGGACTGGGTCCAACACTCTCATCTGTATCCAAAGTTGCCTCTAATGTGGCTTTTGTTGGCATGTCTTTGATTTGCCAGGGCTCAGCTTGGTCATGTGAGTGTCATAACTGAGCAGATGATCTTACCGACCACATATTAGGACATTTCAACAGGATTTCAACTAGTTTCAGGATTTATGTAATAAGGCAGAAAATGGTATGTTACTATACGGTCACATGCTCTCTGTAAAACTCTGTTGATTTTGCACCTCTTTCTCTGTTCAGGCGAGATGAAGCTGAATGTACTGGCTCGGCCATTACACTGGGGTCTCCTGCTTCTGTGTGCAGTAAGCCTCTGCAGCCAGCAAGTGTCCACTGGCAACCAAAGCTCCCGAGGACAGCCAGGTAGATGTAAGTACTCAGCCAGACCAATCACACACCCTGAGGGACTCATTGTGACTCTTGGTCACCAGCCTGGTTGCCTGGTACAGAACTCAGTTTAAACAACAAGAACCTGTGACTCACTATACTTCTTGCTAGAAACAGAATATGAGATAAGTTGTTTTTCATGATTAATTCTCAGAGCCTTGTAGTTGCCGTAAAGGCATTTGAACGGTCATGCACTGTGACTTGCCACTCACAGCACATCTAATCGTTTCTACATAATGTTACTGTAATGTACATGACATACTGAACACGTAGCCTCTGTATGATCACATGAAACAGGGTTGAAATTTGTTTCATAGCAGTGGTGGAAGAAGACCCTTTACTTACATCTAAGCACCAATACAACAAGCCTACTCTATTACAGGGAATTCAAAATGTTACTTAAGTAAAAGCACAGAAATATCATCTGCAAAATTTATGAAACGTATCAAAGGTAAAAGTATTGTTTCTGAAGAATAACAGCCACTTAGAACAGTGGTTCTCAGCCTAGGGGTCTCGACACCCGCCAGGGGGTCACCAGGTTATTTTATTACATACATTTTTTTAAACTAAAAATATGGAGATAAAATCCAGATTTTCAGGTGTTAATGAATATGTCACAAAAATGTGGGTGATGGATCTGTTTCTTGCAAAAGAAGAGGATGTGGATGAGCTCAGGGATGTCAAGTCAAGTTCTCTCTTGAAGAGATTCTACGTTGAACCCAGGGATACAAGCAGTTTTGGCTTGTAAAAGGACTGGACATGGCACCAAGGCTAAATATAGGTTAAGGAAAATCATCGGATATATTGTAGTATACACAAGAAATAACCTGTTCAAACTTTAAGCAAAAAAATTACTAACTTACCACAGGTGTTAAGGTCACCATTGTACAATGTTTAGTGTCTCTGTATTGTTATATAATTTAGATAAATTATGAAATATCTATCAAAGAAATTTGAAAAGAAGTACTCCATTTTCCATTTGTAATTGTGTGTGTGTGTGTGTGTGTGTGTGTGTGTGGATGGGGGCCTGGTGATAAAACGGGTATCTTTAGGAAAAAAGGCTGGGAACTACTGCCTAAGCCTAATAATTTAATGTAATGTGTTTGTAATTTGTATTTAATGAATAAGCATATCCAGTGTTTTTTATTTATTATTATTATTTATTTTTTAATAAAATCATAATCTGATAAGTGACTGTAGTTTTCAGATAATGGTGCTGGAGAAAATAATGTACTGAGAAAAAGTACAAGATTCTTATACAGCAACATAAAACTGAGACACTCTAGTACAGTGCCTCTGAATTGTTCTGAAGTGAATACATTTAGTTGCTTTCAGCCACTGTCACAACACGTAGCTACCTTGCATGGAGAGCTGTTATGAAACCTGAGATCAGCCTGAATCATCAGTGGTGTAATAATCACCAAAAGCAAAATTAAATTCCACTTATATGCTTTTCTGTTAAATGATGCAGAAGCAGATGCGGAACACATATTTCTGCTCATGCTGTTAATTCCGCTCAGTTCTGCAGTCTGAAACATGAAGTCATTAACAGATGGCTGCTGCTAATATGTTTTGACATTTGAGCATTTTTTTCTTGACTGTGACATGAGTGCCAAGGCCTTTATCCACTTGGTGGTGCTGTAGCTTTGGAAACATCAAAACACGTCTGAGGTACACTTTCTTTGCTTACGTGGTCATCTGAATGAGTGTTAAAAAATATAGTATTTATTAATGTAATGTCTAATAAAGCCAATAAATCATTGCAATTTGACTACAATGCTGCCATCTGTAAAGAAAGAGGTCACCCAGACTGCCTCTACTCACATGCAAAACTTACTATGAAAAATGTTCACCTTCCTCCCTAAATTTTTCCCTCAGTGTCATTGCAGGAGAGGACAGGGATGTGTGAAGTGGTTGCTGCTCATCACTGCTGCAATAAGAACAAGATTGAAGAACGCTCTCAAACAGTCAAGTGCTCCTGCTTCCCAGGTCAGGTGGCTGGGACAACAAGGGCTCTGCCCTCTTGTGTTGAAGGTAATATTACAGCACCCTCTTCTACCTCTCTTACCCAGAAATAATCTGACATGACATGAATGTGTCATTTGTCAAAGAAGAGTCAGGTTAGCCAGTTTCACTAGAGTCCACTGATACTGAGGCTGTTAAGCACTAGAGCATGTGACATCTGATTGAGATGTTGTTTTTCCAAACAACTCATTTTTTAAGTCCTTCTGACAAAATGTGACCTTCTGCTGTGCTGTTTTTTTTTCTAGCCTCCATTGTGCGTCAGAAGTGGTGGTGTAAAATGGAGCCGTGTCTGGAGGGGGAGGAGTGCCGAGTTCTCCCTGACCTCACTGGCTGGTCATGCATCTCAGGGAACAAAGTAAAGACCACAAAGGTGAGGAGAGGGCCTGCATTAGTCTGAGTCACAGTGGCTCAGCACCAACACTGTACAAAAGACACGACATAAAATGGGATTCGTTTAAAAGATGGTATTAATAGAACCTTTAATTGCAATCATATGATACTGCATTAGTCTTATGCAAACATGGCACTGACAGGTTGGTGAACGCTCATCATAAAGCTTTACTTTAGTAAGCCCTCCTTTGATGCTAAAAGATTCTGCAATCAGACACAATAATCACAGCTCCCATCGGTCATATCAGCAGTACTGCTCTTCACCAGGCACAGTGGGCTCAGAAAACCTAATTCTATAATCTGGTGAATGATGGGGCCAAGAGGACAAACATGAAATATGCTGTAAAATAATGCTCTACACTAAAACCCATGTAATTAAATCTGATGAGCAAAGGAAATCCCACTACATTTAGAAATGCACATTCTCATATGTTGCCTTTTTATTATACCGTTTTATAAGTGTGATTCCTGAAGGAAATATTTTACAGTGAAACGGGGTCAAGTGAGCAGTGGTTACACAGTAGATGGGTATCATCAGATTACAATTACAATAACAGGAAGATTAATTGCTTTGATTTCTTAGTAGTTTTTGAAAAAACTGGTCTTCAATTCCCCACAGAAGGAATCAAAAGCAGGCGTGTACTTTCTAGCTGACAGCTGTGGATTGTGTCGGTTGAAATGACAACTGTAATTTTTGCATTTATAGTATGCATGACATCCGATTGTAGCAGAAAGTGTTGTGCATGCCATAGACAATGCTGTTTTTGTTCGGTAAGAAGGATCCGGGTTCAAACCTCACGGCCGACCGGGGCCGTTCTATGTGGTGTTGACATGTTCGCCCCTTTGATTGTGCGTGTTTTTCCCGGGTACTCTGGTTTCTTCCCCAAAGACACGTAGGCTGGGTAGACTGCTCGCTCTAAATTGCTTGTAGTTGTGAGTTGTTGTCTGTCTCTGTGTTAATTGTTTATTTATGGATCCCCATTAGCTTCCACAACAGTGGTTGCTCGTCTTTCTGGGATCCACTTATTAAAAAATACATTTAAAATTTACACATCATAATAATTACAATTACAACTCCATAACATTAAACATCCTAAAATTTACTGTCAAGTCAACCCAATACAATTATTCCTGACACAAGCCAAGATAACAACAATTGTCACTAACCTAATGGATACTGTGTCACTCGGTTCGAAGTAAATGCCTTAAATGTCGAAATCCTGGCTAATTCTTTTATTCCATGAGGGAGTTTATTCCATTCCGATGATGCTCTAAAAATAATTGTGTATTTAATAGCAATTCTTTCTTACTTGGGGAACTCTTAAATTTCCATTACTTATAGTTCTTGTTGAATAACTGAATTTGATCTGGATATTCCAGTTGCTCAGAGAAAAAACAGGGTTGATCTGTTAACATTACTTTCTTTAAGAATAAAAGGAGACTATAATGAAGTCTGACTTCAACAGTATGACTGGACGCTTGTCGCTCAGGGGCTGGGTTTAGCAAATGTCTGACTGAAAATAGTGGCAAAATAAAATACAGTTTTATAATATCAATCAGATTTATTTTTTTTAATAAAATGCTCTGAATTAACTATTAGCATTAATAACTGAAATGAACAAAACCAGAGATGTAAAATATTGCACCTGCTTATGTTGTTGTTTTTAGGTGGCACGGTAGCAAGAAAGAAGCTCCATCTAATCAGCACAAGTCCATTCTGCCCTGCAGCAGTGACCTTAACTATCACTGGACTTTGAGGACAGTGAATGCCTCATCAGATAGAGCAAAGAACAATATAGATTCAATTAGATTTCTCCTGGCTGAGCTTTAAACTGCAGGAACTCATTATTTTAATTTCCTTTAGTTTGAACACAATCTTAGTTGGAGTTGATCCCATGTAGTGGACAATCTATTAGCAATTGACTCAAGATTAAATGATGCAGCACCTTTATCCATTTGAGAGAGGCTGCTTCTGCAGAAGTCTGTGTCATTGCTTCAGTCTTGATATGCTGGGCACAATGTGATGCACTGAATCAAAGTTCGGTTGGGCCTGCTTGCACACACTGAAAAAGGGATTTTGTGGATTTTTGGGAGGCAGACTGTGAATCCAGTGGGCTGTGTCTCCATCGATCAAAGCAGAAGACCACAAAGACTGAGAAATTTATGATTATGTAGCACTTGCAAATAATGTTGTTCAATAGATTTACTTACTTCATTAAGTTTTGTAAAGAGGTCACATCCCTTTGGACTAGTCCTTTTCATGAAGAAGCACTTTCACAAACATGCCTGCACACACACACACACACACACACACAGCAATTTATGTGAGGACACTCATTACCGTAATACACTCCTACACCCTTACCCTGTCCTTAACCATTACAGCTAAATGTCTTAACCCAAAGCCTTCCATTAACCCTAAGTGAAAACCTCATTTTAACCTGAACCCTAAAACCAAGTCATAACTGTCAAACAGCCCTTGTGCTCACTTTGCCCAAACTCCAGTGGTCTAAATCCCAAACTGGTCCTCACAGTGTAACGATAACCATACAAGTACTCACACACACAGACACACAGAACGCTGCTTTTCGACTCCACTGGTTGGACAGGCCACCACCTGCAAAGCTGTGATGGCATGCACACAGGCACAAAACTCTGATGCAAAACAAGGACTGTTTGAAATGCTAATCATGGGGAGAAAGTGGAAAGAGAGCAGACGATGAGCTTCTGCACTGCTGAGAGTATTTACATCATGCTTTTGTTTGTCTCTCTAAACTGAGTGCTCCTGTGGAGGGGACTCCGCTCATAGTAATGATGGGAAACATTGGAGCTTTTCTGCCTTGAAGCAAATGGTAGCTACAAAACAGAACAGACTGTTTACTGTTATTACCACTTCATCGTTTGCCCTCTTTATATAAATAGTATTTTTTGAGGACCCACCCTAATTGCTTATCTTTTATCACTTGAGTTCAGGATTGTGTTTTACCTTTGAAATAGAGAGACATTTTTATAACAAAGTACCTGCACATCATCCCACCTGAGGCATTAGACTTGTATGAATGCCACCATGCTGGGCTGAAAGCGGCTGAACTCTCAGCTATTTACTTAACACAGCTCTGCATTGTGCTGGTTTTGGTGGTGACCGGATTCTTCACTGAGCTGTCATGCAGAGCACGAGTTTGCTCGGTAAACATTCAAGTTCTAGTTGTTATTTAATGATAGTAGTGATATTGTCAAAATGGTAAAACCATGTCATTTTAAGATGCATATAATCATGTTCAGATGTGCTAGATATTTAGAAAACCCCACACTTAAATCAGTGATGTCATCCAAAGTACAACGCCTTTAGTGATGACCTGAAAAAGTGTAGCACACAACAAATGGTTCTTGTAAACAGTGTGATTCTGTTCAGGAGCTGCGTCAACAGCTGTGTCATCATCACGCCTCTGTGTCATATTGTAGCTATGTTTGTGAGCTCATCACATGCTTGTGATGTAGCTGACAACAGTATTGAAAACTGGTGTGACACCACATCGGTCAGATAAAAGAATGATGAGGATTTAGTAATAATGTTTACATAGGTCCATGGATGTATTAAGATGCAATGCATCTACTGTATACAAATGGTGAATACAAACTGTTTTATGGTGTCAAAATATCAGAATTCCGCAGTCTGAGCTGAAGCAATAACTCTCTGTCACAATCAGTTTAACAAAGTTAGCATACAGACGTGGACAAAATTGTTCTGTTAAGCAAATAGAAACTCACAGTGGTCACTGAAATAAAGGGAAACTGACAAAAGTAATAATAAATAAAAATTTACTGAAAATTAACTAATGAAAATCAGTCATTGCTTTTGAATTGTGGTTCAACAGAAGAATTTTAAACTAATGAAACTGGTCTGGACAAAAATGATGGTACCCCTAGAAAGGATTAGAAAATATTTTGACCATAGAGACATGTTAAACTAAAGTGTGTCCTCTAATTAGCATCACAGGTGCTTTCAAACTTATAATCAGTCAGTCTGCCTATTTAGAGGGTGAAAAGTAGTCACTGTGCTGTTTGGTATCATGGTGTGTACCATACTGAACATGGACCACAGAAAGCTAAGGAGAGAGTTGTCTCAGGAGATTAGAAAGAAAATTATAGACAAACATGTTAAAGGTAAAGGCTATAAGACCAACTCCAAGCAGCTCGATGTTCCTTTGACTACAGTTGCTCATATTATTCAGAAGTTTAAGGTCCACGGCACTGTAGCCAACCTCCCTGGACGTGGCCGCAAGAGGAAAACTGAAGACAAATTGAAGAGACGGATAATGCGAATGGTAACCAAAGAGCCCAGAACAACTTCCAAAGAGATAAGAGTGAACTCCAAGGTCAAGGTACATCAGTGTCATATCGCACCATCCGTCGCTGTCTGAGCCACAGTGGACTTCATGGAAGACGACCGAGGAGGACGCCACTGTTGAAAGCAACTCCTAAAAAAAGCGAGAATGAAATTTGCCAAAATGCATATTGACCAGCCACAAAGCTTCTGGAAGAATGTCCTTTGGACAGATGAGACAAAACTGGAACTGTTTGGCAAATCACATCAGCTCTATGTTCACAGATGCACAAATGAAGCATACAAAGAAAAGAACACTGCACCTACTGTGAGACATGGAGGAGGCTCAGTTATGTTCTGGTGCTGCTTTGCTGTATCTGGCACAGGGTGTCTTGAATCTGTGCAGGGTGCAATGAAATCTCAAGACTATCAAGGCATTCTGGAGCTAAATGTGCTGCCCAGTGTCAGAAAGCTTGGTCTCAGTCACAGGTCATGGGTCCTTCAACAGGATAACAAAAACACACAGCTAAAAACACCCAAGACTAGCTAAGAACAAGACATTGGACTGTTCTGAAGTGGCCTTCTATGAGCCCTGATCTAAATCCTATTGAACATCTGTGGAAAGAGCTGAAACATGCAGTCTGGAGAAGGCATCC